TAAGTCTGTCAATCAGTCAGTCAGTTAATAAGTCAGTCAGCCAGTCAATAAGTCAGTCAGACAGTCAACCAGTCAGTCATTAAGTCAGTCAGGCAGTCAGTCAATCAGTCAGTCAATAAGTCAGTCAATCAGTCAGTCAGCCAGTCAATAAGTCAGTTAGACAATCAATCAGTCAAGCTTTAAGTCAGTCAGTCAGTCAATCAGTCAGTCAAGCTTTAAGTCAGTCAGTCAGTCAATCAGTCAGTCAGTTAATAAGTCAGTCAGGACAAACAGTTTTATATATAGAGATATATCAAAATATTCAATAATGTGTTACAGCAGCCTCACGAAGCGAAACTGGAGCCAGCGAGTTGGTTCAAACCCTTAACTGAATCACCGACACTTTATTACAGACTTTAGGAAAGCCTTCTTTTCTTTATTTACACCTCGCTTTCATTCCAAACTATATCTAACGTGGATACACACGAGTATATATCCCAAGTTCCAAATCTCTAACTTCAATCCAACATCCTCTTCTCTCGCTGTAGTCGAGTATAACGAATATTCCTCTTGTCGCATTAGACTGTGTCTGAGCTCTTGCCACGCCCACAAACGTGTCGATTTTGGCAAACGACCTGGCCAAGAAGGCCAAGGGCCCCCCGAAGCCTGTCAGTGCCACGTAGTTGATATCGATTGAGCATCGTCTTAATTAATCAAGACAGAATCACAATGCGAATGAACACAGACACAGATAGAAATGAGATATAACAAAAATAATTCAAATCATAAAGCTGGCATATTATCAGCTTGTTTCACCCCCGAGGAGCTGTCCGGCTGGTTGCGTGACCGGGCACTTTTTCGAGCAGGGGAAACTTAACTTGGTAAACTAATAATAATGGGAGCAGCGTGTATTTAGAAATGCAAATTTTGTAATGGCTTCCAAAGCCGTTCGAGGCTTCAAGGCATTTAGTTTACATAATAATAATCATGGCGCTGAGATAACAGCTGCCCAGACGAGGACTTGCCTGGCTTTGGGCCACCCGATGCCAGCGACAGCATCCGTTCCGCAGTAAGTCAACTTTCCAGCTAGGTGAGGGGGGAAGGGGAAGGGGGGCGAATCTCAGACTCTATTGTGCCTGACAGTGCAACTAGTTTGCCTTCAGATACCCTTTCCTAGGGTAGATGGGGTCTACTTCTTATTGAGATAACTATATCATATCAATATTGGCTTGTTGACTAGATATATCTATTTATACAAAAAAAAAAATTAATTTGAGACACATACAAAGCCTCTCAAATTTCTGTTAAATATTGTTAACAGTAAACAAACATGTAAACTTTTAAAAGTTAACAGCCACAACATCCAGTGCTGTAAAGCAATAGTAGCATAAGACATACTAGTATATTTATATACTAGTATATGGTATATATACTAGTATATATGTATTTTTCTAGATAGAAGCTGGGCACTCTAAGAAAAGAAGAAGAGAACACGAGCTGACGCCGACTCATGAAATTAAGAAAATAGGAGAAAATAATAAGGTTGTAATAATTATTTTAAAACACACTTCTTTTAATTCTTTGTTGTAAATAGATTGTTTTCTCGTTCTTCGTATAATAAGAAATTAAGTAAACAAATTAAAAGCTACTGCTTTATATATAATAATAAAAACTGGAAGAAATTAACATTAAAGCTAAAACTAAATTTAATACTTATATTTAACACACATGTTTCTTCAATTCCTCGTTGTAAATTGATTGTTTTCTCGTTCTTCGTGGATAATAACAAATTCAATTAAGTAAACAAATTACTGCTTAATTTAAAAAACAAATTAAAAATCCTTTATTATATACATATTAATATATTATTATTTATATTATTATATCTATATCTAGACGACCTTAGCTCACAGTGGGAGCAAAGAATCCCAGCTGGGGCTCATGATACTCCTAATTCAATTAATCTAATTAATGCTCCCAATCAACTAATCAATATAAACTTCTGTGAAAAAAATGCTCAGAAAAACGTTAAGAAAAATATAATTTCTAATAAACCAAATAAAATTATTCCTCATCATATTATCATATCACCAATTGTTACAGGTTAAGTTTGGAAGACCTTGGTAGGTTCCTTCTCGAGAAATCGAGAATGTCATCATTAAAAAATCCAGTATTTTATATAAAGACGAGCTAAGCTCAGCGTGGAAGGGCAAATCGTCTGATTTGTATGATTTTTGGTTTGTTTTGAGTCCATGCAGGAATGACATAACTATAAAGTATACAAATGTTTGGCAATATTTACTTGTACCGAGCAACGCCGGGTTATATCTGCTGGTAGTTAAGATGAACCTTATTTATTGAAATATATTAAATAAAATTAATTATAGAAGCACCTCGCATATAATTTACATGCCTTGAAGGGTATTCAGAATTCGTAAAGGTCGCAACTTTCTTTTTTTTATTGACAACTTGTGCATGCATAAGGCCTGCGGGCTTTCGCTTATGTGTGTGCGAGTGTGTGTGTGTGTGTGTGCGAGTGTGTGTGTGTGTGTGCGAGTGTGTGTGTGTGTGTGTGTGTGTGTGTGCGAGTGTGTGTATGACAATTGTCGGAAGGCAGTCAGCTGACAGCATCTGGCCAGGGTTAGTTGTTGTTGCTGTTGTTGTGGGTTGCATTTTTATGCCCCTTTGTTTTAAATGGTTTCGGCAATCCCTGTCGGACGGGGGGACATGCGGACAGACATGCAAACATGCATACTTTCGCATGCAATATAAATGACTCGGCAGGACAAAGACAGGGCGCAGTCAGCAATCTTCCGTTTAAAGACATTCGAAAGGAAAGAGCAATGTCTGTAATGGCATTATTATTGGACAGCTAAGCGAAAGAGAGAGAGACAGACAGAGAAGGAGAGAGAGAGAAAGAGAGAGGGCAACACTTCCATTAGGTAACCTTAGTCATAAATTATCTCTAGAAATGCAATTACGATTCAAATAAAATTTAGCTCAAACGAAGTTAAACAGCAACTGCTGCTAACCTTCGCCTAGTTAGCCTTGAGTATGTCAAATAAAGGAGTATTTGAGTTGAAATTGAGATATTAACCGGCTTTGCCCGACACAAGCGTATTTCATCCAAATTAAGAACCTTTCCAGAGCTCTCCGAAATGAATGAAAACTTTGAAGTGCAACCTTTGCCTAGTTAGCCTTGAGTATATCAAGTAAATGAATATTAGAATTTAAATTGATTTACTTGATCTCGGCTTTTCGCGAGACAAGCATATTTGATCCAGTTTAATCTGAACCTTTTGGCTTATTTTCTGACGTTTGGAGAAACTTAGAGGGATGCAAAACATTTTCAGAACTCTCCGAAGAAGCTATTTTAAGTTGACTTGAATGAAAACCTTAAAAGTGAAACTTTTAACTTAACCGCGCTTCATATTTTCTATTCTTAACTTGAAGAAGTGAAGCTGTGCGTCCATCAATCAGTCCGTAAGTCAATCAATCAGTCAGTCAGTGCAAATTCTTTTATTTATATGCTGGGAGCATATTTTATCCAAAATAATCTGAGCCTTTCGGCTTATTTTCTGACCTTTTGAAAAATTTTCTACACTTGCTAAATCAAATTTTGACAGTAAGAAATGAAACTGTGCATTCATCAATCAGTCCGTAAGTTAATCAATCAGTCAGTCATATATATATATGATGCATAGCATATTTTATCCAAATAATCCAGAGCTCTCCGAAGAAACAATTTAAACTTTATTTGCATGAAAACTTGAAAGTGAAAGTTTCAACTTAACCGCGCTTCAAATTTTCTATTCTTCATCAATCAGTCCGTAAGTCAATCAGTCAGTCATAATTACGATGTAATTCCTTTTTGCGCTGCCAAGTGTCTAATTTTCAGAATACTCGTAATAAAGCTGCACACTTGAGTGTAAGAAATACTTTAAATTAAATAAATACAAATCGAATATTGCAAAAGTATTAAAAGGCCTGAGGGCCTAAAAACAATAAGCCGCAAAAATCATTTGCTGCGGTTGAAGTGCAGCTCGCAGCTTATAAAGCAAATAATTTAATTAATTGTGCACTGGCACGTACCACGAATTTTCGGCTTTAATTGAGAGCAATTTTGAAGGCAAAGCGAGAAAAAGGGCTATCTTCGGCACGCCGAAGATTTAATACCCTTGCAGACCCAACCTTTTCATAAGACTTTGCTCATATCTAAGAAGCATAGGGAAAATAGTTAATGCCGAGTATGGTTAAGATATCATGGAAAAAAAAAAGTTTTCTGTATAAGATCCTACTTTTCGCCCGATCGTTCCTATGGCAGCCATATGATATAGTGGTCCGATGTAAATAAGATTTTGCATAAATGAAGGAAACACAGTGAAATTTATAAATAGCGAGTTTGGTTAAGATATCTTCAAAAACAAAAAACTTTTCCAAACAACAACTAAATTTTCGACCGATCGTTCCTATGGCAGCTATTTGATATAGTGATCCGATGTTGATAGGATTTTACAAATATATGAGGTGCAAAATAAAACTAATAAAAGCAGAATTTGGTCAAGATATCTTTATAAACAAAAAAGTTTTTCATACAAGAACGTACTTTTCGACCGATTGTTCCTATGGCAGCTATATGATATAGTGGTCCGATCCAGCTGGTTTTGACATATGAACTGCGTGCAACAGAAAGAAAAACTTCTGCAAAGTTTTATACAGATAGCTTTAAAACTGAGCAACTAGTTCGCATAGAAACAGACAGACGGTCATCGACTCGGCTGTTGATGCTGATCAAGAATATATATATACTTTATGGGATCGGAGATGTCTCCTTCTATGCGTTATACATTTTACGACAAAATTATAATACCCCCTGCAAGGGTATAGAAAACAAAATCACAAAAGATTGTTTGTAAAGGGCCAGCGTGGCGTATGCGCAATTTATAGCTCATACGCAATGTGCACCTAGTTCACACACACACACACACACATACGCACACGCACACACATTGGATACTCACCTATAAAATAGTTGGTGACGGTGCGCATACGCTTGGTGGTCAGCACAATCCAGACGACAATTAGATTGCCGCCAGTTGCCACAATGACCATGCCGCCAAATAGAATGCTCCAGAGCACCTGGCGCCACCAGGGCACAACAAACGCAAAGCTGGCCACGGGCGCCGCGGCATCCTCATCGGCCACAGGAAGTCCTGTGATGCCGGTGGGTAAACTGTGAGGGAGAGAGAGGAGGAGAGAGAGGAGGAGAGAGGGGGAGGGAGATAGTTGGGTTATAAAACAATGGTGAATTAGTGACATGAAGATTATGTGCGTTAAGCCGAACCAAATGGGTGACAAGTGTGCGTGTCCCCTTGTCTGTGCATGTGTGTGTGTGCGTGTGTGTGTGTGTGTATTAGGCGCATGTAACTGTGCGTGCGTTAACAAATCCTTGTCTGTTGTTATTCATAAAACCTCAGGCTCAGACTGGGCAACGTGTCCCCTTCGTTTATTTAGGGCGTGCGTGTGTATAAAAGTGTTTAAATAGGCATTTCACACACACACACACGCACACACACACACGCATACTAATACAAACACACGCCTGGAAAGCCTGAGATTTGGGCTACCCTGAACTCATTAAAGCTGGGTAAAAAAGGGTATAAGGTCTCGTCAATCTCAATAACTTAAATAGCCAGAGACTTGAAATTTGATACAATGAAAACTCTTTTGGGTCGTCGTTTAATTTATGTCCGCTTAAGAGGAGTGTACGCTTAAGAGGAGTGTACGCTTATTAGAGGTAGGGCATTGATGTGCTGTGTTATATAATTATTTTAGAAATTTTGAGATTTGATACTATAAAAATTCTCTTATGTTCGCTTAAGAGGAGTGTACGCTTATTAGAGATAGGCTATGGATGTGGTCTGTTATATAATTATTTTAAAAATTTTGAACTTTTATACTGTAAAAACTCTCCTATGTCCGCTTAAGAGGAGTGTACGCTTATTAGAGGTAGGGCATTGATGTGCTCTGTTAATATAATTATTTTAGAAAAAATTAATGTCCGCCTTACAGAGGTGTCCGCTGAGAGAGTTTTCACTAAATCAATTTATTTAACATTATTTTTCGATAAGTTTAGTTTAAGTTTTTTTTTCGGTTTAGGGTATGCGATAGTCGGTCACACCCGACCAAAAGGCTGCTACTTGTTTTGAGAGTCTTCAGAGGCTGTTGCGCTGGGTCGTCATCGTCTGTCAACGCTAATACGGCCGTAAATTGGGCCCCGGCTCGTTAGGAGCCCGGACATCAAGTAATTTAATATGCTGTGCCCCGTTTCTCAATCTCTCTGTGTGTGTGTGTATGTGTGTGCGTGTGTGTGTGTGTGTGTGTGTGTGTGTGTGTGTGCTGACATTTGAAGCCAGCTGGGCGTGGCAGCGCCCCAGTTAGTCAGCTGTTAGTCATTAGTGGTCTGTCGGCTCTTCAGAGCAATTAAAAGCATGTATTATGATCGCCTTAGCATACCCTGTACACAATTTGCATAAGTCGTCTCCTTTTCTTGTTGTTGTTGAGAGGATTATCGATTTTTATGGACAGAGCAAAATGTGAAGAATACAAACAAAAAATTAAATAGAAAACAATTTCGAGCAGCAGCCGCAGGCACAAGAAAACGACAAGTGAAAGGAAATTCCTCGAGTGGAAAGTGCTGCACTGAAAGATACCCTGTAAATGAGCTAATGTGTCTTATAAGAAGTCGATAGATGTCGGACTGACAGCAGAGGGTATTCTTTTATATTCACTTGAGTAAAAGGAAAAGTCTTCAGTGGAAAGTGCTGCACTAAAAGCTACCCTGTAAATGAGATATTGTGTCCTATACGAAGTCGATAGATGTCAGACTGACAGCAGAGGGTATTCTTTTATATTCACTTGAGTAAAAGGAAAAGACTTGAGTGGAGAGTGCAGCACTAAAAGCTACCCTGTAAATGAGCTATTGTGTCCTATACGAAGTATATAGATGTCAGACTAACAGCAAGAATTCTTGTATATTCACTTGAGTAAAAGGAAAAGGAAAAGCCTTGAGTGGAGACTGCTGCACTAAAAGCTACCCTGTAAATGAGCTATTGTGTCTTATAAGACGTATATGGATGTCAGACTAACAGCAGAGGTTATTTTTTTATATTCACTTGAGTAAAAGGAAAAGCCTCTAGGGGAAATTGCCGCACTAAAAGATACCCTGTACACGAGCTATTATGTATTACAGATGCCTGGCTGACCGCGGAGGGTATTCTTATATATTCACTTGAGAAAAAGGAAAAGCAAAAGTCTTGAGTGCCGCACTAAAGGCTACCCTGTACACGAGCTATTGTGAAATACATGCTAGACTAACAGCAAAGGGTATTTATTTATATTCACTTGAGTAAAAAAAAAACCTTGAATGGAGAGTGCTGCACCAAAAGCTACCCTGTAAGTGAGCTATTGTGTCTCATCAGAATCCAATAGCTGCCCGACTGACAGCAGAGGGTATTTTTTTATATTCACTTGAGACTTATGCCAATATCTTTGTCTCATGTAGTTTCTCAGGCATATTTGATGCCTTACAGCGACTCCTTCCTCTACTTTATGGGTAACCTTTTCTGCCAATTTTACGCGTGCCGGGAATAAAAATAAGAAGAAAATACATTTCGTCAAGTTAAATCTATTGTTGTTATTTTTATTCTACTTTTTTTTTTGATTTTTTGCATTAAGCCTGCCAACGCGCCGGCAAGCCAAACAAATAAACATTCTAAAGTGGGAAAACATTGAAAATCGCCGGAGCTGAAGAAGAAGAAGAAGCCAAAAGCTTTTGCAAAAGATACTTTTACTTAAGGATGTTATCCATCCTAGCTGAAGCGGAACGAAGACGATTTGTGGTCCTCAAAAAGTATTTTGCGAAAGTCAAACGCAGCAATTATCTGTCCGGGTGGAACAGTCCGTATAAGACTCTATATTTCAGCATGTGTGTGTGTGTGTGTGGGGAATGGGGGTGTGTGTGTGTCGACAGGAGTAAACAAATTTTTGCTGCAGTAAGCCGACCGTCGTTAAAAATATATAAAATAAAAATAATAAAATCTAGAATAACACCACAGCTCGACTAGAAAATACCCTATGAGCTGTCTAGATTTATGTAAATATTTACATTTAATGTAAATAAAGGCAAAGCACAAGCAAAATAATGTTAACAAAAAAATATAAAAACAATGTAATGTAAACAGCTTGTAAAATAATTTGAATAATAATGAAGGAAATTTATATATGAGCAAAATTAAAAAATATATAAAAACAATATAATGTAAACAGTTTGTGAAAATAATATTAAAATTGGTGCGAAACTATTTTAGTGCGCATTTTAGAGGCTGCAATTTCGTCAAGGTTCGAACTCAAGTTCAAGCAAAAGCGCAGAGATATCCGTTAAATTAATGTTAAACATTTAAAAGTCAACAGCCACGACATCTAGTGTTGTAAAGCAACAGTAGAAGAAGACATACTAGTATATAGTTTAAGACAAGCTAGTATATAGTATAAGACATACTAGTAAATAGTAGAAGACATACTAGTATAAAGTATAAGACATACTAGTATAAAGTATAAGACATACTAGTATATAGTAGAAGACATACTAGTATATAGTATAAGACATAATAGTATAAAGTATAAGACATATTAGTATAAAGTATAAGACATACTAGTATATAGTAGAAGACATACTAGTATAAAGTATAAGACATACTAGTATATAGTAGAAGACATACTAGTATAAAGTATAAGACATTCTAGTATAGAGTATAAACATACTAGTTGTGTATTTTTTTAAAGTTGGACACTCTAACAGTAGTATAAGACATACTAGTATATATATACTAGCAAACTATATACTAGTAGTATATACATACTAGTATATGTGTATTTTATGTAAATAGAAGTTGGGCACTCTAAAAAAAAAAAGAATTGAACACGAGGTGAAAATAAAAAATAAATAATAAAAAATAAAAAGAATAAAGAGGAATATATAATCTATTTGATAATAAAAAATATGTCCTACCCTTCCGCTGGGAATGCTTTAAGTGCGCAGCAGAAGACATAAAGAAGTCACGAGCAGCACACACACGCACACACGCACACACACACCGAGGACCATAGATAAATGCGGAATGTGTTTTGTATATGTTTGTATTTGTATTTGTATTCGTATTTGTATTCCGCGTGGGCCATCAATGTAATGTATTTGAAACGGAAATAAAAGCCATGGCAAAACGGAAATGCATGACTGATTGAACTGAATGACTGACTGAAGTGAATGACTGACTGACTGAAGTGAATGACTGATTGACTGACTGACTGAATGGCTGAATGATGCGTCATTAGATATGCATGGCCAGTAGACAAAGCTCATCAGCCCAAATCCTGAGCTGTCTAATGCATTGCTCTAATGAGGCGGGCACTAATTCAATTTGTATCATAATTAGACATTCGGACTGAACGCCTTTTTCTCTCTCTGCGTACTTACACCCTGCTCAGATTGTGGCCCAGACTGGCCTGTTTGCCATCCGGCCCGAATTCGCCGGAGAATGGAGTCTGATTGGCCAAGATGCTATTCATGGCATTAGAGAGCAGGACGGGGGCATAAGTGCTCCAGTTGCTCCATGTGTTCTCCAGCAGCAGCTCCTCCTCGTTGTTGTTATCCATGACCTGTCCAGCTCCTCCGTCCAGCATGATCTTTGGTGGAGAGGGGGGCTTCCTCCCTTTGTTTGCCCGGACTAATGTTGCGTGTCCTTATTTGGCTGCCATTTGTTTGCTTGTGCGCCTGCAAAAACAACAAACGGAAAGAATAATACATTTAACTAATTTCCTTTTTACTTTGCTTTTTATTTTTAGCATAAGGTCAAATAATTCTTCCCTCTTCAAAAAATGGGCTCAAAAGTTTTGCTAGTTTGATTTTCATTTGTATTTGTCGCCGGGTTGGGCTCATTTTGTGGCCAGCAAAAAGGTTTTTTTTTTGGTTGTTGTTTGTTTTGGGTGCCAAATAAAATGTATTTCCACACAAAGCGCTTTAATATAGGAGTCATATTAGGGCGCTTTTCAAATGTAAATGGGGCTGCCTTTTTGAGAGGAAAAGCAAGTAAAAGTATTCTAGTCGGGCGTGCCCGTTCCGGAGATACCCTAAACAAAAAGAAGTGACCCCTATTGATTAACTTCGGTGTTTATAGTCCGATTTTCTATTAATGTTCGTGGCTTAAATATTTTAAATTAATATTTTAATATTTTAAATTAAATTTATTTTATTTTAGTGCTTTTTCTATATATAATATATTTAATTTATATATATATAATAAATATAAGTCAGAGTATTCTAATTGGGCGTGCCCGATCATGAGATACCCTGCACTTCTTTTTATATACTTTACATTTTCATTGTAAAAATAAAATTTTTATTATTTTTATAAATTACCCAAATTAATTCACTATGTTTAAAGATTAATTAATCGCCAAAAACACGCGATCCTTTTTGCTTAACTTCGGTGCTTATAGTCCGATTTTCTTGCAATTTTCGTGGTTCAAAAATGGCACACAAAAAATACTCTCTCTTTAAAAATGCGTTCTTATACTTGAGAAAAATTTTTAATTTGTATAATATTATACAAAAACATAAAATTTTTAAACAGTGCTCAAAAAGTTTTTAAATTTATTTTAATCGATTTGGATATCGAAGAAAATGGGACAATATATCGATAAACTTGTTTTGCACAGGGTATGATATATATATATATCAGGTTTATAGTTCTTCAAGTATACGAGATTAACGCGTTTACATAGAACGACCTGACCATATACATATATAATATTATTCTATATTATGTTATATTATATTATATTATATTATATTATATTATATTATTATATTTATACTATAATATTTATATATTTATTTATTTATATTTATGCTTTATATATATATTTTGTATTTTTGGTCGAATAGCCCTTTTTACCACTTTCCAAATGGGTTCAACCTTTAAAAACCCCAATTTAAATTAAAAAAACAAACTTTTAAATTAGCACAAACTTTGTTACATCAAAGGCAAAATAAACATGGCTACATCGGAAATTAATTAAACTGCATTGAAATTTATGTGGGCCTAAAACCTTTCATAATTAACCTAAGCATTACATGCTAGAAAGCCTTTTGACATGTCCACAACGTGGTCTGCAATTAATATATGTCGTTCAATTAGCTCCCAATTAGGGTTTCTCTTGCGTCCACAGCGCAACCACAACAAACTCCTTAAGAGCACATCATTTAAATCGAGTTTAATTAATGTTCGGCATTTAATAAATTGATGTATTGATTTTCACTAAACCTGAAGAGAGCAAAAACTGCCTTTAGTATTTTCCAGTCCAGCTGCAATCGAATCAAATCAAATGCATTTCTTATCTAAGCAAAAACACTTGAAACAAGTAAGAGGTTCTAGTCGGGAGCTTCCGACTAGGGGATACCCTGAAGCCTCTTCTTCCGAAAAGCGAAAGCTTTAAAATGAAAGATACTTGATATATATATACTATTCTAGAAAATGCATGTCAAGTTTGGTGACTCTAGCTCTTATAATTTACGAGATTTGCTCAAAAAACAGGATTTCGATATAGATTTTTATCGATCACTTGGAATCGGGGCAAGTTATCGAATATCGGAAACAAACTTGACCTGCGCGGGCACTAGGAGGACCTACAACCTAAATTTCAAGTCTCTAGCTCTTATAGGTTTCGAGATCCTTGCGTTCATACACACGGACCGACGGACAAACGGACGGACATGGCTAGATCGACTCGGCTGTTGATGCTGATCAAGAATATATAGACTTTATGGGGTCGAAGATGCTTCCTTCTGCCTGTTACATACATTTGCACAAATACATTATACCCTTTTTACCCACTTTCAATGGGTTCAGGGTATAAAAACCACTCGAGAAACAGTTCGAGAATATTTGCCAAAAAGGGGGTGGACTCTGAGATACCCATTGTTGAAGCGCCTAATGCTCAGTTATTCAATTTAGGTTTTTCTTTTTGTTTTGTCCTTTGACTGGGCGAAAACAAAGAACAGAATTCGGTTGAATGAACTCAGCAGGATTAAAACCCCAACTAATTCAATTCGCAACATTTGCAGTCGAACGACTGCCCAGAGGTAGATTTTCTTACCTGTCGCTGCTTTCTTTGTATGTTTGTGAAAATTGCTTTTGTTTTCCATTCCCCCCCCCCCCTCTGCCACCCTCCCACTGACAAAGTTTTCGCCACGATAAGAGGCGAACAGTTTGTCCAAGTCCGGCGCTGACAGATTGAAACAATTGCGTCTTACCACCTGAGGCAGTTGCCACTTGCCACTTGCCACTTGCCACTTGCCACATGCCACATGCCACAATTGTCACTTAACGAAATGAAAGAAGCTTCAGTCAATGGAATTTGACATTTTTGTAGAAATTAAGCGGCAACTGAGCTCTTTACGCTTAAACACAAATGTTGCTTACATTTCAAAAGTAAATTTGCCAAAAGAAAATGCCAAGGAAAATGAAGCTCATCAATTTAATCGGACAAGACAAATATTGAAAAACTAGGCAAAAAAATCAATTAGCGGCGAGTTGTCTACCCGCACAATAATCACAAAATGTGTGTGTGTGCATGCAAAACATATGTCTAAATTATATGGTGCGAGGTTGTGGCTACGGCGGAGAGAGAGACAGTGGGGGAGGGGCAGGGGGCGGGTGAGTGGTGGGCAGGGGGGAGAGGAGGGTTGCTGCAATTGCGGCGACGACGCGCATTGTTGTCTTAATGAAATGTAAACAAACTTCAAAAGAATGTTGGCCATAATTGGCAGCTAGCCGGACGGAACGACAGACGGACGGACGGACGGACGGACGGACGGACGGACGGACGGACAGTCCGGACTGCAATCGAGTGGGTGAGAGGGGGAGGGGGGGGCGTGGCAGATGCAAGCCAGAGCGTGAAAATAAACTCAAAATATTTGCTGCAAAAATATTTGCCCAAATAGAAAAATTGCGGCACGGCAACAATTCCGGCTGTCCGGCAAACAACTCCGGCTGTCCGGCTCTGCCACGCCCACTGTGCCGCCCCCATTGACTGATGTTGTCATGAGAAATGCCTGTTTTTTTTTTGTTCTCTTGTGTCGTTTCGCAATAATCGCACAAAAATTGAATTCCATTTTTGTGTTGCTACGGTTCTACTTTTTGCCGTGTACGTGAAAAATAGGCAAAATGTCATGCGGGCAGATAACGTATACGCAACGTTGTACGAGAAGAATTTAATGTCTGTCTGGTTGGCATTAAAATGAATTTGTCTGCAGTTGAAGCTACTTTTTCTTTTCTTTTCGTTATATATATATTGCCTCTTTTTAAAGAAGAGAAAAAGTAGAGAAAAACTTTGCAGCTTTAAGGTTCACGCCGTAAAGTAACATAAATATGGAATGGGTCTAGACAGCTGTGTTAAATTAATGGAAAATGTTTGCATCGGCTTAAAACTCTTCTTTTTTTTTTTAGCAAACTCAAACTTTTTAGCAAAAAGCACGCGCTTGTTGGCATTTGAGGCCTAAGGAAACTGTTGAGTGGAACTTTTTGTTTCTGGTTCAATTAACTTCTAGTTCATATGTTAAACTTCGTTTGAAACGGGAATAACCGATTGCTGATATTCCCTATTGGGAGATGATTCAAATCTTGACATGGACGGAATATGGGTGGAAAACTGCCCGTGCAAAGCCGGGCAATAACTATACCAATTATTTGTATGAATTTAAATGTGTGTTTGTATGTTCTCTTGTACCTAATGCGCAGCAAGTTTTGCAGTATTGCAAGTTTAATAAAATGCATTATTTTTATATCGCCCTTCTATGCGATTCTCAAAAATTCAAGTACATATTAAAGTACAGTTTATGAAACTTCCTATGATACACATACAAATGTATTTGAGTGTGTTGAGTGTATGTTCCTATTGTACCTAACGCGCAGCAAGTTTCGCTGTAATGCAACTTTAATAAAATCTAATCTTTTATATCGCCCTACTATGCGATTCTCAAAAGTACACATTCAACAAGGTATGAATTGCTTACAATGCATTAGTTATAAACGTTATTTTAACCAGTTGCTATGTTAAAAATATAAAAAATTGGACTAGCCAAAGCTAGAAACAAAATCCTGGACTAATACTAATAAAATAATTTATAAACACGTATTTTTTTATATCGCCCTACTATGCGATTCTCATAAATGCAAACATGACATTGGCTGCAATGCATTAGCTATATTATTTTATTATTATGTTAACAAGTTGTTATGTTAAATAAACAAAAAATGTGACCAGCCAAAACTGGAAATAAAAACCTGGACTAATAATATCGAACCTTGGATTTGTGAATCTAACCCACGCGCCATTTGTATTGTAATACGCACATGCATCGCAACCAATGTAATGCATGCATTTTTGAGAATCGCATAGTAGGGCGACAATATGCACTACTATGCAACTATTTGATATAATTATGTTGAGCAACAGCACAGAAAGCGTATTTGGGTTTCGTAATAAATGAATCTAAGTGTTTCTTTGGTTTGTTTGACAAGTCAAGTACAAGGGTACAAAAAAACATATATATGAGAATAATAATAATAAAGGAGAGTTTTTTGGTCTGCGTGGCAGTTGCGCCATTTGTGTGTGTGTGCCAAACATGAGCAAGTGTATATGTATGTGTGTTTGTATGTATGTGTGTATGTATGTATGTGTGTATATGTATGTGTGTATGTATGTGTGTAT